TACCTACGTACATAATATTAATATGATTCTAATTTACAGGGCAATCATGCAGCTGAATTTGTCAAGTACCTACTTACTGATTGAATGGCCGTCACAATACCATTGCTGCAGCTGATCTCGTCATTGCTGCAAACAGCCTAAATATTTTAGGGGAGCTAACGTCCCCATAATATTGATTATATTATATATCTATTTAGTATTTACTTGATTTGGAGAGGCTTATTTGTTTCTATTTATTGAGTGTTTCAAAAAAAGTAATTTTGTACTATCTTATTAGTATCATTTTAAGTATTTCAAATTTGATTATTGGGTAGTGTGCAGGTTCTTTATTGAAATTGGCCACTAAAATTGTTTTAAAATAGTTTCTCCAAACTGCAGTCACATGTGCATAATATTCACTATACGAACTGATTTAAGAATTATTTTTGTTTTGTATACCTTATATATTTAGTTGTAATCCATAATTTTGTGTTCGCCTGGGATGAGAATAAATCGTGAGTATGTATTGTCAAAGCCGAAAGTATTTCGCTATTTAATAATATTTTCGCATTTTCCTCTGTAGATGGGAGTAAGAATATATATCCATAATAATCTATGCTCTGGTAAAGAATCAAAAGAATCTCTTAAATAGTGATACTTTTTATACTGTAAAAAACTGCAATTTTATCTGTATATTTTTTTTTTTTCGAAAAAACATGATTCTTTTTATAACAAATTGTCAATCATAATATATTATGGTAATTTATAGACAGATGATATTGTATGNCATAAGAATCTATGCTCTGGTAAAAAATCAAAAGAATCTCTTAAATTTTGAAATCTTTAATACTGTAAAAAAACTGCAATTTTATCTGTATATTATTTTTTTTTCCAAAAAACATTATTCTTTTTATAACAAATTGTCCATTGGTAATTTATAGACAGATGATATTGTATGTGTCAATGTCATTATTCATTTAGCTGGTATTTTTTCATACCTAATACGTGCTTTGTTCAATGTAAACTCTATTTAATATGTTATTACTTATCAACATGTAATAAATAAATAATATTTACACTAATGTTTAATTAAGAATATTCTTTGTTTAATTAAAAACAATAAATTACTAATAATTTGTATTTAAAAATGAAGACATTATTTATTTCTTATTATTTTAATAAAAATTGTATAATCTATACATTATTCTAGTATAGACAATTGGCGTGCTTATAGTTTTACAGCCTAAAGGGTTGAAAATAATTAAACAAACTAGTTTTTCTAGAAATGTTACATAGATTATGATTTGGTTGTTTTAGAATGACTTTTACAAATTAGTGGCTTTAAAAGTCGTGTATTACCCATGACCCAGGTGTACTAAATGATACTGAAATAATTTTATAAGCCTCAAAATAAATAATCTATAAATATTTATGAATCGGCTTGAATCTAATCTAATTATCAGGACTATGATTTGTATGCAATAAAACATTGTAAAATNAGTTTTTCTAGAATTGATACATAGATTCTCATTTGGTTGTTTTTAATCGACTTTTACAAATTAGTAGCTTTAAAGGGTATGTAATACCCATGACTCAGGTGTGCTAAATGATACTGAAGTAATTTCATAAGCCTCAAAATAAATAATCTATAAATATTTATGAACCGGCTTGAATCTAATCTAATTATCAGGGCTATGATTTGTATGTAATAAAAAATTGTAAAATATGCATTTTGTTTACCAAAATATGCAAAAATATGCATTTAAATTTTTATAAGATAAACACAAAAATATAGTNTGAAGTAATTTTATAAGCCTCAAAATAAATAATCTATAAATATTTATGAATCGGCTTGAATCTAATCTAATTATCAGGACTATGATTTGTATGCAATAAACATTGAAAATATGCATTTTGTTTACTAAAATATGCAAAAATATGCATTTAAATTTTTTTAAGATAAACACAAAAATATAGTTACTATAAAAATATTTATCTTTTGAAATACATTAGTGATTGGCTGTTTGTCCTAATATAATATTATTGAAAAATAAAATTTATAATTCACATTCGATGGTGGAAATACGTGTGTTACATGCTACGACAACATATTTTCTACATTTTCGAATATAAATTATAATTAAAAATAATATTAAAAATTAGTTCTCTTAAAAATAACATAGCACCTGGATCTGATAAAATTACTGCTGGATTGACGTCCCAAGGACTTCAAGCTTCAATTCCCGAATCGAACCGGATGGGTCTAGGTGGATCGTCTCCAACCGGCCTTCATTCTCCGAGAGGCCAACTGGAAGACCACACCTACGTTGTGTATTCTGACGTCCGACGCGACCGCGTCTCGCGTAACCGGGTTTATTTCTTTTTCCCCGGGGGGGAGTGATGTGGCGGGTTTCGCGCCACATTTCTTCTTCCCGCTGCGCGTTGCTCGCGGCGACGTCGGCCACGCCCCTCGCCGTCGGCGTTCAGCGGTCATCGTCCACAGCTCCACTCGTCGCGACGTGACAACCTCTCCGCTCTCTCACTGCACCGACGCCGTACGCGAAGCATTGTTTCCGACTCCGAATAATTATTATGTATAATTGTTTTTCTTAACTAATGTTGTTTTAATTGTTGCGTGCTCGCCTTTTCCTCCGTCAAAAGCCGTCTGCTGGCGATCACTTGTCTTATGTCTTTATGTTGTAAATAAACGTTTCTTTATTACCTTATCATAAACCTCGTGTCATGGTGTAACCCGCCAAAGTACCTTCATTTATTTATCAAATAATTGAAGCATTGCATTACTTATCAGTGTGATAGTATTCTTTACCATGTCTGTAGATAACTAACCAAGATATGTGCGTTATGATAACGCCTAACCTAGAAAATTCGGTAAATAAATTGTTTACATTGTTTATAGTGAACGGCAACAAATCGTCACTTGCGGTACTTACGTAATTTTCGTTTAGACTGCCTACTACGCGACTAAAAACCATTCTTATTTCCGATATAGTGTGTAATTTTCGTCCATTTAAATTTCGTTTGTGTTGCTAACCGATTTTTGTATAAATGGAGACTACCCGTAAGTATCTATAGTTCTTTTGTTAATTTAATTACTATATATCTAGTTCAAAATAATTTATATTCTGTGAAATAAACATAGGTATATATATATTTATTTTACTTTGAACTCAGTACTGTATCATGTGCATGGTCGAATAATATATTGGCTAGTCATTCTTTATTAGTCATGAATTTAAGTTTTTAAAACGTTTTAAAAATGTAAAATACTCAGGGAATCATCTAGATTTATGTACGTTTTAAAATAATATTTAAAACTAAGCTACAAATGCGCCATTAAACTCAAATATTATGTTAAATGAAAATAATATGTAGCCACTAAATTCGGTTAACAAATATTTTATTTAAATATCTTAATTAGAATTAGTAAGCTTGTAGTATAGTTTTGTAGGAGATGGAGCTCGGTAGATTTACTGTACCTAGATAATTCTCGCTAAATGATCAAATTATAAATATTGTGTATAATAGTGTTTAAAATGTGGTTAAATAGGTTTGAATAACATCAATGATAATTCCAACTTTGTGTTTTTGATTTTAAATATAATTTTTTCAATGCAAATTCTTTTTAGATTTTGTGCAATGCGAGGAATATTTTTTTTTTAAATTTAAATGATTACTGAAAATAATATTTTTTTTTGATCTACAGAATCAATATAAATACTTTGCCAAAAAATAAAACCATTAATATCATCAATTTTCACTTTTTATTTTTTAAATTTTAATCTATTAGTTTATTGGTAGCAACATAATAAATTGGTTCAATACCTTTTTTTTATTTTTTATATATCATTAAAATACAAATTATATGTTAGTTATCATATTTTTATTTTTGGTTTGGTCATTTCATTGTTATTAACAGTAAAATTAAGATGTGGGTGTCTGTTTTTAGGTACTTTATTTCTAGATAATAATAAACAACTTAAGTTTTGTTCAAATTGTAATGATCTTACTATTATAAAAAAAAAACAGGTCTTAAAAACCCCAATAAAAAAAAAAAAACTAAATGCTTTAACATTTAAATATTTATAATCTCTTCCATAAGAGAATGTTATTGATTATCAATTAAAACCACATTAAACCACTACAGCAAATCTTTGCGATGGTCGTTGCCTATTATCGTTGAAAGTTTACTTGATATACAGAACGTTAACATTTTTGTTATTATTATTCCGATGTTTTATGTGTATAATTTTTTTTCATCTAAGTTTATAAAATTAATAGTAATATTAATTTATATAATATTATATACAATTAAAATTGATCGAGTATATGGATCAATAACAGTAAAATATATCGCACAATAATAGTAAATAAATTTAGATTATAGCGAAGGAATTTAACTAGTGTTCATTGTTAATTAACGGTACGTTTCTCTCGCGGAACAGAATAAAGGTATAGTAAAATTATGTGTTCAAATAAATTCAGTCATCTATGTATGTTAATCACATAAAAATAAAATAAATATATAGCTAGGTGCACATCTGGTAATAAATTAATTGGAGCATTTTTATTTTCAGAAATTTTACAAGCTTTAAAAGAAAAAAATTAGTAAGAAGTCAAAAGGATTGGTTGAAAATGAAAAATCATTGAGTGAAATACTGGTTGAATTTCCATTTTTTATAAAACCTTCTGAGAAAATTGCGACAATTGATTCATCAAAATGGCCTTTATTATTGAAGGTAATGTATTAATACATTAAATAGTAGTTTTATTTAATTAAATGATTAGTTAAAATAAAACGAAAAAGAGATGGATCAAAGGCTGTATTCAGTGGCCTTACTAAAACTTTTAATGCCCTTGGCAAAATAACTAAATGGGAGCCAAATACACAATTTAAGTTGGAGAAAATTTTCCGCAGATCGGAACAAAACAATAAGTTATCAATTGTTTGATTTTACGACTTGGGGCACCTAGATGTCTTGG